TTTTTCTCTTGTATTCACTGTAGAGAACTTGGAGAGATTCCCAGGGCAGTACACTTCCTTATGGAGATCATCAGATGACCTATTTTAAGCTAAAGTGTCTATAAAAGAGGTATGGAGCAAATAAACAAAATAAATAGGGAGAAAATTTTAGAACCAAACAATGCTTGGCCAACATATCTAAAGGGACTCAGGGATGAAATAACTGAAATAAGTGTAGCACATAGTTTCTTACTTAAAACAGGTTTAGTACTGAGCACCTGCAAGTAGCCAATATAATGTCAGAATTTAAAAACATTTCCAAGGGAGACTGGAGGAATTAGAGCCAGGTAAACCTGATGCGTTTAGAAGATATGAGTGTGCAGGATAAGAAGATGGATAAGGAAACAAACTGAATTTTAAAGTTCTTGTCACTTCATTGGAAAAAGTAAATAGTCGTATGGAGTGGTTTGATGTCATGTTGCCATATTTGATTGGAGATTTAATTTTTKGGGAAATATAGTACTGTGAATGAAACTGGGGCTAAGAATGTAAAAGAAGGTCCAGATCARCTTCTTGAAAAAATGAATAAAATCTTTGCCTAAAGTGACCAGAACAGTCCAGACTGTTTTCAGCACTATTCCAGACCTTTCTGTCACAGAATTAGCCCCAAATTTGTGTTGGTATTATATAGGCTAGCACATAACGATATTAAAGTATTCTGAGGAAATAGTCAACATTTCATTAAAAATATCCTGAAGTGATGGAACTTTATCCTACATAGAAATAAAAGCTACTCAGCCTTGACATTTCCCATTAAATTCACCGAAGAAAAATGTTAAAAGGCTGTACGTGGAAACTATTCAAAAATATTAAGAAAGCAAACATACGAGCACAATTTTTTCAGATTAGCTCAGTATTTCTAAAATACTAAGCTTCTCATATTGCATCCTCCCAGAAACAAAACTCCCAGAAATAAGTCTTACATCAACCCAAAGCACATAGATTAGTGAACTCACCTATATGTCTTACTAAATTAGGTTTAATGGATCGTCAGAAGGTACCTGTTACTTCTTCATTAGAGTCTACGAAACTCTTAACACTTCTAGCTTGAATATTTCTACTTGAGACTCCAAATCATCTTACAGGAAGAAAAGACTGTAACATTGCAGAAAGAGATATTGCAGGAAGACTGCATGGGGACATAAAACATACACCAAAAAAAAAACCACTTATATTTTGCATGTTTCTTATATACTTGGACAAAACTACATATCTGAAAATATTCTACTTGGGATTTAATACTGCCATGCTGTTATTTTAGGTTTAATGAACTAAAATAAACTGTCTGCATGAGTCTATATTACTTCCTAAGCAGTAGGGTCAAAAATAGCAGTTCTCCTAGATGGACCCTCTTGTGTTAAATGGGAGTTACACGGGCTCCAGTATCACAAAGGAATCTGATAAATTCTGATAAAGTAACATAACAGATTCCAGGATAAAGTAGTAGTGGATGCAATCAGTCAGTAGCTTAGGTATTTTCAAACTTTAAAGTGTGGCTTTCTACCTCCCAAGCCCCCTCAGCGACATTGGACTTCTTTATCACTCAAACTTTGGAAAATAAGAAATATTCCAATTCCAGACCTTTTTTCTTCCTTTTCTTTTTGTTTGTTTGTTTGTTTGTTTGTTTATTGTTTTCAGCCAGAAGAGGAGATAAGTGCTTAGGTGGTAGTTACTTGCATATCAAACCAGTAGTTGAAGTGAGATTTCTGATGGACCAGTAAAATCATTGAGAAGCTCTAGTAGGAGAATCTTACTTTTTTTCCGTTTTGTCTTCCCTWTGTGAGGTATGGCTTTCTCCATGAGGGAATTAAACCTGTTAAAACACAGAGATTACTGAAAAAAAAAAAAAGCAATATATGCTACATAAATGCTACATATGCAAAGAATATAAAAGCCATATGATATGGCACTGAATGGCACTTTTCAATTCTAAATTTAGTCTCCTTTTTAGAAATCTTGCCCGCTGCTTTCACTGAAATGTCTCCTCTGAAGCCTTGAAGATGTCTCATCTGTTCTGGGCTGCTCGGAAAACCAATGATGTGGAATAAAAAAAAAAAAAGAGAGGAGAAAGTGGGTCACATAAAGACAAAATTTTCCATCCAGGAGAAATTCCTGACCCTTCCTCCGTCTCCTGGTTTGCCCATACTCGGCTCAGGAGAATTGGTGTGATCTACTAGTAAAAGTGATGGCTCTCTTTCCAGTTTTACCATGAAAGATGGAGTTCAAGATGTTCCGTTTGCTTCCTGCATAGGGGTGATAGATGGTGCAATTTGTGAGATATAATAAAGGGCAACGTATACATCAGAATAAAGCCAAGAAAGGTTAGCCGAAGAACAGAGATGGTCACAGATACTGAAACAGAGGAGAAAGAAAATAAAAAGGTATCAAATAGTGTAAAGTTCAGAAGAGAGACTTCTTGGAGATGAGGAAGCCATTCTAGTCCAAGGAACCTAGAAACACTGATCTCTCCTTTTCTTCACTGAAGGGCTGTTTATAGATTGCATTTCATCCCAAGGGGCAAATGACAGTCAATACAAAGCAATTCTGTGAAATCTTTCTCCATGATCAGTTGTATTACTGGATGAACTTATGAGTGATTTTCTGACCGAAGGAGAAGAATTAAGGAAGGTTGGTGTCAGATAATTCAGTGCTGATGGAAAAATTGTTGTGCACGTATTGCCAGTCACTAAAACATATTTTTCCTGCCTGTCAGAAGCAAAAAAAAAAAAAAAAAAAAAAAAGTGGTGGTGCTGGCAGCTTTGGACCAACTGAAGGGAGATAAGAGGTTATGGGCTTCCCCTGCGATCCTTAGCAGTGTTGGCTATGGTGCATACTCCACTATGGTGGTAACTTGCACACAGCAGCTTCGAAGCAACATCCAGCTGTGGTTGTGGCTTCAGATCATCCATAACCATCTACATGGTTATGGTCTACATAAGCATCTGCAATGCCACAAATCATYAGCTTATGAATTGGCAGGCATTCTTCTGCCTTCAAGGACACACAGACGTTAGATTAAATCAAAAATGACAAGAATTATCTTATCTTCCTAAGGGCAAGCGATGACTCCAGAGAGTTAAGTAGAGTGACTTCACTTGGAGTCAGTACATATTTTATCTCAGAACTGTGGACAACATTGAACCGAATTCCAGCAGGTCTGATCAGAAGGTCTTTGGCAGAGATGCAGCGCTGGCAGATGATGCTTAGGGAATTGAAAATGTCATAGAAATAGAAAAAAAATCCAGTATCATGTTAGAGTATTTAATTTGTTTTAGAAAGACCTGGAAGTAAACTGACTTAAACAGCCTAAATCTAATCATCTTTGAGGCCATCCTTCTTCTTTACAGTTATTTTCAAATCAGAGCTGAGGTAAGAACTGTAACTAAGATGGATAGTAATGGTTATTGTTGTCATTATGTGACAGTTTAATGTAATAACAAAGAAGCACTATTCCTATTAGTGTGCATTAAGTAGTCCTCTCCCTACACAAATTTCCTTACACCTCTCACAGGATTTTAGCTGTCCTGAGGTCTATACTGATAGGAGGTAATAGTGAAGAGCAGCAAAGGGCACTGTCATGTCCAAGGGCACCCAGCAAGACCAGTGGAGCTGGGAACAGAGCCCAGGACTCAGGTGCAGCTCCAGGGCAGCTTCAAGGTTCCCTGAAAACCACTTGCTTTGGAGCTTATCATGGAGGGCTGGTGTCAGTGCAAGGGAAGAGTGAGGACGTGTGGCTGCAGCACCTTTGCTTTAAATGAGCTTGAACTGTTCAGGAATCAAGCCCTGTAGTCTCAAACATACTGGGTCTGTCCTCCAGGGCACAATGCTTGTGTTTTCCAAATGCAAGGTTAAACCTGAAGCTTTACTCCTGACAGAAGAGCTAGGAATGGTCCTTGCCTATTATTTTACTGTGCTTGTACCAGGACAAGCTTAGTTGATTGAAAGCATTCAATCTAAAGTACCTCCTTCTGTCTGGCACCAACCATTACTGAAGTATTAAATGGAGTTGCCTCCCCCCATACCCCACAAAAGGCAGAGTGCAAATGTGCTTCATCCTACGTGCTTCAGATCCCAGTTCCTCCCTTTGGAAGGTTTCCCCACTGTTTGGATTAACAGAATGTGTCTCTGCTAGCATGCTAGATTTTGTAGCAGTAAAATTAGTCCCTGCTTATAGGARGACTAATGCATCCCCCCTCTCTTTAATATGTGCCCACTGGCAGGGCTCTCTGCTGGGTCCGGAGCATGTGCTGAGGTAATCTGTTCCTTTGGCTTTCTTTTACACAAGGATTTTTGGGGGAGATTTCATTATTTTTCCCTGCTTTTCTTCTTTTTCCTCCTCACTATGAGGGACTTGGAGCAAAAGAGACGGGTGGGGAGAAGCAGGAAGGGGCTCGGAGCACTCGTAAAGCAAAGCCTGCACACTTGCTCCTCCTAAAATCAYGGACCTCTCCGTGAAGATGAGGAGAAACAGCTTGTTTCCCTCTTCCCTGGGCAAAGGACTGAGTCTCAGCAGGCTGAATAAGCAAGGCAAATAAAGCCTCATACCACTTGCAGCCAGGAACTTCACTCTCTTGGTCAGGTAAAGAGATGTAGGAAGGTCTGTGCCCAAGCTGCTGCAAAACCTTACCTCTGCAAACYGAGAGCCCCCGGCTTTAGCAAAGCCACGTTATTAATAAGCACCAGGGGCTTAGGAAAACAAAGGCTGGAGGAGGGGGAGCCTTATTTTAGGAAGGGGTCCAACAAAGACAGCACGTTTAGCAGGGGGAAGTATCTACACCCTTGGAACAGAGAAAGTGGCGAGTGCCAGCTGCAGAGAGCCTAAAAGAATGAGTGTCTTGGATGCTTTTGTCTCCTTATATGGTAAAATGATACCGAGGGGTTTCACTAGGCTGGGGAAGGCAGCAGCCTCTCTCCACACAGCTCCGGCTGCGGAGCTGCAAGCGGGAGAGCTGCTCATCGCGGGCGCCCTCTCCCCTGCGAGCAGGCCACTCCGCTCCCGCCGCCCTTGTTAATGGATGCGACCCCCTGCCCCTGGCCCAGGAGGTGACATTAGCTGCCTGCTACTGCTCTGTAAGTAAATATCCCTTYTTCTTCTGCCCCCACTCCCTCCCCAGGACCCACGGAGTCGGGTTTTGGAGGTATTACTTTAAACAAAGGGTGCRGACAGGGAGCTGGAGGGGGCTGTTTAATGCCCCATGGGTTGCTGGATGGGGATACAAGGAGAGCACTTGCCGGTCCCCCCTTCCCTGAGCACACGGCGAGGGCTGCGAGGAGGACACAAAGGTGAACCTCTTTTCGAGGCAGTAATTGCTGCGTGTCTGTCCGTAGGTGACACATCCGCGATCAGATGAGGCGCAGGGTCATTTCCCTTGCAACCATTCTTAATGACGGCACTGTAGTGTGAATGTAACCCATCGGGGAGCTCATAAAAAGTAGGGGCTGCATCTTAGGTTCCTTACACCTCTGTGCACACGTCCTGCTCGACAAAGGATGAATTTKGCAGTCGCGAGAGCAGATGCACATGAAACAAAGGTGCTGCTTGCAAGCAGTCCAGAGAGACAGACTGAGCACAGGCAGGGGAAGCCATCAGCACTGTGTTTCATATTTTTATGTGGAGAGATTAAGTTAGAATGCAAATCCCAATAAACTGCTCTGAATTTCTGCCTTTCATGCTTCCTGTGCTCTACGTGCATGCGTGTATAGCCACAATAGCCTACGTCCTTCACGTATGACAGCTCCCTCACTCCGTCTAAATGCTAAAGGAAATACTAACTTTCATTGTCTGCATTAATGGTTACCCTAAACTTTCTGCATCCCTGAAGGGGTGCAGCTTTTATTTAGCTCACTAGATGCCCCACAGAATTGAGTCTTGCTGTCTAAAGAGACATAATCACAAGAAGGCAAACCTAACAAAATCTATATACTGGCAGCAATCATTTTGCTTTTGCTCCTCCCCTGGCTCCTATCTAGAAGTGTATTAACTAAGATTGCCGATTGATGTCCCAGGTCAGGAATTATAACGTTTATTGAGGGCTATACATATCTGTTCACTGCTTTAAATAGGAATTGTCCTTGAAGTGCCAAGATTGGAGCGTATATTATTAGGTACTCCCATGCAGCCAGCTGTAAAGGGATGCTATACCTGAGGTTGCCATTGAGTTTCTGTTTTAAGCTGTTCCTACTTTGATGGAATGCCCTGCTTTCTAGCCCAAATTTTTCTATGTTTTTTGTCAGCTAAATAGTGATCTTTGAATCTTCAGGTGTTTGGATTTRGGGCACAGAAGAATGCTTTTTAGCTTATTAATTTTATAAAAATTATTTCTAGTTTTCTGCCTCTGCACATATAGCTGGGAAAGGATTAACTCTAAAAACTGTCCCATCAATATAGCTTGCGCATATTGACCAAATTTGAGAAAAAAAAAAAAAAGAACACAACTAGAATTGTAGAAAACTTGGTACCAACCACCTGATATAGTGGAACTATCTATTCCAAACCTGACTGCAGCACCAATAAAACTATCTTTTATGCTAACCATGACATAGATATTGACCTCTGTGAATATCCTTTGGGTTGAGAAGTACCACATGATTGAGTTGAACACGATAGCTGAAAGGACTCAACTGCTCTGGCTGAGAATTCATATCTGGGGTTCACATCTGACATCTCCTTTTGACAGCGCAGGCCTGAGCCTGGGGCAGCACCAGCTCTGGAAGTCCTTCGAGAAAGCCTAGGAAATCCTGACATGGCAGAAATGCTGGGGTAGAATATTCTTATTTTCGCAGACTGTGTCCCTGAGGGAACTGGCCATGCAACACGTTCACGCCCCAAATATTCACTACCAGCATATATAGTTTTTAAAGCATATAATCATTATTGTTATGAGATCACCACTATCACATAGCAATAGCCATTGGAAATGGTTTGTATACACAAAGCTGCCACCCTGAGCAGCATGAAACTGTGATTCTCAGCTAAAGGACCCAGGTACAGAYAAGGCTCTTTTTTCTACTTAAGATAATACATTTTCTTAACAAAATCAACAGAAGTCCAGGTACCATTTCATGGAATCACATTATTTTTTATCTATACAAATAGAAACAGGTGTATCCCAATCAGGACATCTAAAAAAGCAGACACTTTTTATAGAAATGTTAAAGGGCTCCTTGAATCACATGCAACATAGTCCTGCAGGCTCCCATTATGCCTATCAGGATACATTAAATATTATGAGCACGAAAGGCAGGTTTGGTGGCAAAGTACTGAAAGGGCTGGTGACAATTTCTGCTGTATCAAATTCAAATCTAATTCAGAATTTTGCCAAAAAAAAAAAAAAGAGAAAATGGGGGAACATCTTCCTCTTCATGCAATGGGAMTGAAAACTGAATTACTGCCTGTGGCTGCTGGCCAGCAAACTGACAGTCCTTCTAGGAGCCCACAGACCAGTTACAGGCTGCTGTTGCCTCACCCGTGTCATGCTGGATAAATTGGTCCAGAGCATCTTTGGAGAAACTCTGCCTGTGCTAGTGATCCGGGCAGTCCCATTCCCCCACTGGGATGCTGCTTTGGAGACTGGGCATTGCATAACTTGCATCTTTAGGCTGATTAATTTTAATTGTGCAATTTTAATGTTTCATTTACATATGGATGGTTATTTGTGATGCAGATTTGCCCCAAGTGAGAGTGTGAAATGGCAGGATAATGACAGTTTTCATGGAAATAAATCTCGGATACATTGACAGCTACTGAAGCATTAATATTTCAACAATACTAATTAGCTTGTTCTATATATACGGTTGGATTAGAAGCCACTGGAGGCTTCTTTTAAGGCTGAACTCTGAAATACTCATGCCAGGTGAAAAACAAATATGATGCTCATTTCTTTAATTTTCACTTACCTTTGTGCGTTACATCGTGCAATATTAACTAGACTGCCAGATAGTTACTGAATGTACAGTATTACATAGTAAGAGGAATGTAGGAGCGTAGCTCTGATGTAAGGACTAATGACTCTCCCTTCCACAGCAAATTTGTCACACGGAAGTTGCCTTTRCACAGCAAGTCCAAGGACTGCCCTTTCATTGGCAGGCAGCAGTTACAGACTCTTGGTGAACACTGGCACAAGGGCTCAAAACCTACCACTCTTTTATCTTGCAAGATAAAAGCCATGAGTTGAGTAAAACAGTAAATTAGTGAATTATTATTAGTGAATTTTAGTAGAATAACTTCCACCACAGCTAGCTCCGTTCTGTCATTACTCTGAAGCGCTTTTGGGACTTGCATCAAGCTCTCTTCAGAGTCCAGGATCCCAGATCTCTCCAGCTCTTCCTCCTCCATACTGTGCTGTGTGTCTCTCTGTGCTGCCCCTTCTTTGCTCTTCAGCTAAAAGGATTTCTCCCACAAAAAGTTTGCCTCCATCCTTGTCCCCAGGTTCCTTTTGTCTCTCATTGTTCACTCTTAAACTCATCCACGCACCATAAACCCTCCAAACCACCACAAGTGCCAGTTATTTTAGACAGAAGTGGCCTTTGGGGTCTTGTCCCTGTAAGAAAAACAGGAAGGAAAGACTGCTTGGCCAGAGACCAGGACTAACCTCAGAGCATCTTCCTCCTAGTATCCTGCCAGCTTCACCTCTGGCCTTTCCGGGGAGAAGGAAACAGAGTATTTTGGTCAATCTTTTATTTCTCTGGCCTAGTGCATGTTTTGCAGGGTTGTAAAAATGTAGAAGAGTTTGTAAATTTCATTGTTTGGTAGCATTTGAAGTTTTCTAAATATTTTGGCTTTGGGGTCGGATTTCCTTGGGATTAGCTGTGTTGCTCTCAACAAGCAATTCTTTTCTGGAAAACAAAAACAAAACCAAAAAACTATTTCCATACCTCCAATGATGTTTAGTCTCAGCAGTCATTTGGTGTATACGTTATTGGTACAAGGTGGAGATGGAAATAACAATATTAATCTTATAAAATTTTTATCCTCTGCCACCTTCCAATGTCTGCTAAAATGCTCTTTGTAGAAACATGTCTTTCTGTACTTAAGTAATGGCAAATATTTGACCTCTCTGTTTTGCGTAAGCCTTTGTTTATTCCACAGGAGAAAGAAGGCAGATATTTGTTTCAAGAGGTTTCAAAATTGAGCATAAGAAGAAGCCTTTCAGCTGTAACTGTGCTTTTTTGTGCTATGATAAATTTAAAAGTCACGCTCCTTGTTATTTAAATAGGCTCCTTTTGTAATTGAAAGCTATAAAGGAATGTTTGTAAAACCATTACATCCTTTAGTCATTTCAATACCAACCTTAGATAATCATAGTGTAATTTGTGTGGGATAAACTGTCAAGGTATCATCTCTTCTGTGGCATCTCTTGTTCCCACTACTACCACTGGTAGCTTACTAATTACTGGAAAAGCTCTAAATTAAATCAGATCCTTGCTGATTGCCAAGCACAGCAAACTACATGGAAAGCAAAGTTGCACTGTCGCTTTTCCACTACTGTAATTGGGATTAATGTAGCCAGGCACATTAGAAACCTAAACCTTCTTGCACAAGAAACTCTTTCTTGTGAAATACCACACTTTCCAATTCATGATAGGCTACTGTGCAATCCAGACAAGACCCAAGTGTGCTTTCATTATCTGCACATGCTCATGCTCTGTCTGCTCAGAAGATTGCTCTAAACTACTTAAGAAGAAACAGAGGAATGTGATACCATAGAGAAAGCCAGTCAGGCCTGTACAAGAAAGCTGAGTTGAGGGAAAAACCTAGACAGGACTCTGAAGCCTGTTTCAAGGTAGCTATAAAAAGTCTATTAAAACTGAGTATTGTTTGAAATGTCTTCTAATGTCTATCATATATATATAGAAAGAATAAATTTAGGTAGGACATTTAAAAAGAGATTTAATATAGTGATAAAAATGAAACAAAGGTAAAAAAAAATACTGATTCATGACCAGGAATAGCTTTGCGATAGAGCTTCTGGGAGAGTTTGGAAATTTTACTGTGAAAGCTTAATACTATCACAAGGAGCAAGAAACACTTCTCTAATTACATACTTTGCTTTCAATAACCTAAACTGGAT